GCACACAGCAACATGTCACCAGTGTACACACCCAAGCACACAGCAACATGTTACCAACATCTCACCCAAGAATACACAGCAACCTGTCACCAGCGTACATACCCAAGAATACAGCAACATGTCTGGCCTCTGCAAGAATACACAGCAGCAACATGTCACCAGTGTACACACCCAGCTTTACAACAACATGTCACCAGTGTACACACCCTACAAGCACACAACAGCTTGTCACCAGTGTACACACACCCCCAAGCACAGCTGCCATATTGCCAGCATACTTTCACCCAAAAGCAACTGTCTGTGTACATACCCAAGAATACAGCAACATGTCGCCCAGCGTACTCTTTAAGAAGTATACAGCATGTCACCAGCGTACTCACCCAAGAATACAACAACATGTCACCAGTGTACACACCCAAGCACACACAGCAACATGTCACCAGTGTACACACCCAAGCACACAGCAACATGTTACCAGCATACTCACCCAAGAATACAGCAACCCGTCACCAGCGTACACACCCAAGAATACAGCAACATGTCACCAGAAGTACTCACCCAAAGAATACAGCAACATGTCACCAGCGTGCCTCACCCAAGAATACAGCAACATGTCACCAGTGTACACGCAAGAATACAGCAACGTCACGCAGTGTACACACCCAAGCACTACAGCAACATGTGCCAAGTGTACACACCCCCTGAAGCAGCAACATGTTACCAGCATACTCACCCAAGGAGAAATACACAGCAACTATCACCAGCGTACACAAGAATACAGCAACATGTCCTGTGTACTTTCACAGAATACAGCAACATGTCACCAGCGCACTCACCCAAGAATACCTTATCTGACGTACTCACACCCAAGAATACAGCAACATGTCACCAACATACTCACCCAAGAATACAGCAACATGTCACCAACTACTCACCCGGAAATACAGCAACATGTTGTCACCAGCGTACTCACCCAAAGAATACAGCCTTATGTCACCAGCTGCACTCACCCAAGGAGGCACAGCAACTGTGTCACCAGCGTACTCACCAAATACATAGCAACATGTACCAAGCGTACTCACAGAATACAACCATATGTCACCCAGTGCTACCAGAATACAGCAACATGTCATAGCGTACTCACCCAAGAGTGTGGCAACCTGTCCACCAGTGTATCTTAAAGAGCCTGCAACATGTCACCAGTGTATGCAAGAATAAGCAACATGTCCTGCCAAGCGTGTGCTCACCCAAGCACACAACCCAACATGTCTGCATTCTCACCACAGAAATCCTTCAGGAGAAGCACACAGCAACATGTTACCAGCATACTCACCCAAGAATACAGCAACCTGTCACCAGCGTACATACCCAAGAATACAGCAACATGTCACCAGCGTACTCACCCAAGAATACAGCAACATGTCACCAGCGTACTCACCCAAGAATACAGCAACATGTCACCAGTGTACTCACCCAAGAATACAGCAACATGTCACCAGCGTACTCACCCAAGAATACAGCAACATGTCACCAGTGTACTCACCCAAGAATACAGCAACATGTCACCAGCGTACTCACCCAAGCACACAGCAACATGTCACCAACGTACTCACCTACAGAAATCCTTCAGGAGATGACCTACCGAGATAAGAATCAGAAGAGCCCTCAAGAGGTGACTGAACTCTGTTGAAAACAGAAGCTGTGGTGTGCAGTTTCCAAGTAGCTCACCTAAGACAAAGTGGTAGAGAGTGGTAGAGACATGTTGAACATAAAAAGGGTGATGGATAACAGCAAAAAATAAATAAAATAAAATAAATAGAAAGGAAAAGAAAAGAACAGACAGCAGCAAGTTGGCAGCTGGGATTTAGGGTCAAACACCAAACAGGCCCAGGGCAGTGGCTCATGCCTGCAATCTCAGAGTGGCTGTAATCCAGGGAGGCCAAGGCAGGAGGATCACTTGAGCCCAGGAGTTCAAGATCAGCTTGGGCAACATAGGAAGACATCGTCTCTAGAAAAAAAAAATTGTTTTAAATTAGCCAGGCATACTGGCACACACCTGTAGTTGCAGTTACTCAGGAGGCTTAGGTTTTTGGGAAAAACATTGAACCTGGAAAATCGAGTCTGCAGTGAGCCATGAAATAAAAATTAAAACATATCATACAAATAAAAGAATATGGAGGGAGAGTTAAAGATCTCACTTTCAGAATTGGGGACATCTTTAGACACAAAAAATGTAAGGATAGAAAGGAATCGAGTAAGAAAATGGACAAGTCCAAGCGTTCAGTTTGGAAATTGGTCCCAGAAGATGGGTAATGTCTTCCCATCACCACCAGCCTATCCCACTCCGTCTTCTCCAGAGCCTCCATCTCTGTCTCCGTTCTGTGCAGGCTGGTATGACTTGCCAATCTCTTCCCAATTTCTTCTTGATTTTAGCTTCTGGCTCGTGACTACTTTTTCCAACACAATTTCTAGGTTAATTCTCAGTGATTTCCATACACAAGTAAATGAACCTTCCCCACTCCTCACCCCTGTGGTGATATCTGTGACCGTGTTCTCAGCAGGGCACCCCACTGGGCTCTGTCCCACACAACCCGCTTCCAGCCACACTCCTCTTCCTAGCTCTCTTTCTCCAATGCTTGGATCTCACCAGAACTCTCGGTCCATCAGCACAACCATGGCTTCACCGCTTCCCAACCTCTCTGATACCTCTTCTTTTTTTGGTAACAGCTTTGTTAAGATACAATTTATAAGCCACACAATCTGCCCACTTAAGGCATACAATTCAATGCTTTTAGTGTATTCACAGTGCAGTGCACCCATCGCCAGTTACAGAACGTTTCATCGCCTCAGAAGGAAAGCTCATGCCCTTGAGTACCCCCAACTCACTCCCCCCCAGGACGGTTCTCCAGGCGGGTTCAGACCTCGGCGGTTCTCCCGGTGTCTCACTTGTGGTTCTCAGGCCAAGGTCAAGACCCTTGACTTAGTTCCTTCTCTTTGGTTAATCTGATCCCTGCACTGCGAGCTGTGCCATTCCGGGCAAGTGATTCATACTTAACCCCTCTGTGCCTGTGACACGAAAAACGCGCAGCTGCCTTGAGGATTAAATGAGTTAAAGTCAATATCAAGAAGTGCCTGAAAAGTCTCCAGCAGCGACCCTGCGAAACAGGCACAACTCCCTTCTCTGCCACACCCAGTTCCAGCCCACCCCGGCTGCAGTGCTTACGGGCCCAGGGAATCCTGTGTGACGGGCTAAGGCGTGTGCCCTACCCTGCGTGGAAGGCCTGGTCCCCATTCCCTCAGGACGGGGCCTGATTTGAAGGTGGGGCCATTGAACAGGTCATTCAGTTTCAGTGAAGTCCCCGGGGTGGGCCTGATCCCCACTCACTGGGGTCTCCATGGGGAGAGGAGACACAGACCCACAGAGGGCAGCCCGAGGGGCGCAGGAGACACCCGCCCCCAGCCCGGGAGGGGCCTGGGAAGGAACCAAACCCTGAGACTCCCTGACCTCACGCCTCCACCCCCAGAACAGAGGAAATCAACGTCTGTGGCTGAAGCCTTGAAGCCGCCCCGTCTGTGTCGCCCTGAGACTGTGGCCCCGAAAGCTCCTCTCCCTGGCCACAGAGCTGAGGGTCCGACAGCGGCCCCAGGAGCCCCCAGAGCCGCGACCCCACCGTGAGGGGAGGGGAGGGAGTCAGGTCCCGCGGTCTGCCGGGTGCCTGCCCCGCAGCTTCCCCGGGAGGAGGGAGACGAGGCCCCGAGGAGGCTGCAGGCCGGGGCTCCAGGGTGGTGCCGGGGGGTTCCCAGAACGGCCGGGGGGCGGGCGGACAGGCGGAGCCTTCGTGGGTTACCCCCTAAAAACCAGCCCACGCTCCTCTTCTCGGGAACCCTCCCCACAGAAGCAGCCCTGAGACGGGGGGGACCTGCCCTGTGCCAACCCCAAGGGAAGCCCCCAGGAGTGACTCTGATGAGCCAGGTCCATCAGGGGACGCCCCCCACCCCGCCCCCAGACAGACACTGAGACCCAGATGGCCACCCGGTTCCTCATTCATTCATTCATTCACTCATTCATTCCCCGCCAGCAGACCCCAGGGACCGCGCAGTCCTTGGAGATCCAGAGGAAAAGGAGAAACCCAGGCTGCCCCGGGAGCTTCAGGCTGGCACCGGGAGGGGGAGGACGTGGGCCCTGCCCAGGTGGATGCTCCGAGGAACCGGCCGCAGGAGGCACCCCCAAGCAGGTAAAGCGGGCAGGGGCGGTTCTGAGAGCCCGGGGGTCTTTCTCTTGCTGCCCCCAGAAGCATCTTCTGTCTCATTCTCTTAAACATTCTACAGACTCCGCTTCCTGTTTAGTGATTTTTCTTTGTAAGGGTCACAGTGAAAATCAGAGTCCTCCTCCTGGTGAGTAAGGGCCTGTGTGGTTCTCACTGCTTGCTGTGCCACTGCTTTTGGGAACATGCTTGCACCTGCCTACGTTTGAGGAACTCTATGCGACATGTTTTCTAATTTCCCTTTTCGCATTGTGTCTGCAATGTGCGAGAGGCCTGGTGATGGTGTTTGGTTAAGAAATCCCAGAAGTCCCATAAACAGATGTTGTGTGTTCTGCTTTATGATTTCAGTTCCTACAGAGGTTTTAAATGGGAGTCTACAGCAATTTATACTCAGTAATCTTCTCCGAACACTAAGCATCTGCCCAAATATAAGATAATCTAGTTATTTTACTTCAAAATGTTATTTTCTTTTAGTGTGAACTGAGGTTGGTCATTGAAACTCTATATTCCCCAATGCCCAACTGTATCACAGTTATAATATTATCATTTTATAATTTTATCTTTTTCAGATAATACATGTTTACATTTACATGTTTATAAAGAAAAGTAGGGCCCGTGGTATTTTTAATGCCGTTTTGCTAATGTCCTCAGTATTGTTTTATCGATTAGATTCATAAAGTGTATTCATCTGTGTCTAGTAAGTGGGTAACTTTTATTTATTTATTTATTTCAGCTATGTCTTCTCATATCACCCAAGACCTTTTGCCAGAGCAGGGCATACAAGATGCATTCCCAAAATCAACATGGAAAGGATGTGGAAATTGTGGCCTTGACAATTTCCACTGGAGGAAAGACTGGGGAAATGTAGATGAGTGTAAATTGCAGAAAGAAGATTATAATGGACTTAAGCAATGTTCATCAACTACCCATAGCAAAATCTTTCGATGTAATAAATGTGTTAAATCTTTAATAATTCTTCAAATTTAAATAGACATAATATAATTCATGCTGGACAGAAGCCTTTCAAATGCAAAGAATGTGGTAAATCCTTTCAAATGTTCTCATTCTTAACTGAACATCAGAAATTCATACCGGAAAAAAATTCCACAAAATGTAAAGAATGTGGCAAAACCTTTAACCAGTGCTCACACTTTACTGAACGTGAGAACATTCACACTAGAGAGAAATCTTACAAATGTCAAGAATGTGACAAAGTTTTTAAAACTTGCTCAGTCCTTCCTAAAAACAGAATTTACACTGCAGGGGAACATTACAAATGTGAAGAATTTGGCAAAGTCTTTAAACAGCTCTCCCACCTTACTGGTCATAAGGAACATGGTGCTGTGGAAAAATTCCACAAATGTGAAGAGTTTGACAGTATCTTTCTCTCTTGCTCAAGGCTTTCTAATCATCAGATGATTCCTGCTGGAGAGACGCTCTCCAAATGTGAAAAACTGCACAAGTCCAAGTCTTTCCAAATAGCAGAGATGTGAGACTGGAGGGAAACCTTTCAAATGTGAGGAATGTGACAGCATCTTCGAATGGTTCTCAGACCTTACTAAACATAAGAAAATTCACACTAGTGAGAAACCATACAAATGTGAAGAATGTGGGAAAGCCTATACACAGTCCTCACACCTCAGTGAACACAGGAGGATTCACACCGGAGAGAAACCCTACCAGTGTGAAGAACGTGGGAAAGTCTTCAGAACTTGCTCAAGCCTTTCTAATCATAAGAGAACTCATTCTGAAGAAAAACCCTACATGTGTGAAGAATGTGGCAACATCTTTAAGCAGTTATCAGACCTCACTAAGCATAAAAAAACCCATACTGGAGAGAAACCCTACAAATGTGATGAATGTGGAAAGAACTTTACCCAGTCGTCCAACCTTATTGTACATAAGAGAATTCATACTGGAGAGAAACCCTACAAATGTGAAGAATGTGGCCGAGTCTTTATGTGGTTCTCAGATATTACCAAACATAAGAAAACCCATAACATAAGAAACCCATATTGGAGAGAAACCCTACAAATGCGAAGAATGTGGAAAGAACTTTACCTAGTCCTCAAACCCACAGGGCAACCTTATTGTACATAAGAGAATTCATACTGGAGAGAAACCCTACAAGTGTGAAGAATGTGGCAAAGCCTTCACCCAGTTCTCACACCCGACTGTACATGAAAGCATTCATACTTGAGAAAAAAATAAACAAATATAAAAATAGGCAAAGCTGTTAGTATCTGCTTGCATCTTACTTTATATCAGAGTTCAGACTTAATAAAGTTATTATAAATGTAATGACTGTTGAAAGACCTTTCATGAAATATAAGTTTCCAGAGGGCTAAAGAGTATTTCTTCTGGAAAAAAAAATTAGAAATATCTTTTATACTAGACGGCAGCCTTGCATCAGCTGCTTAAACTTTATTCAAATTCAGAGAATTTGCATTGTAGAGAAATCCTACAAATGTCACAAATGTGGAATAACATTTGTTCAGAAACTATAGTTTAGAAAACACCAGAGTTCATACTAAAAGATATTTTACAAATGCAGTAAATGGAAAAAATAAGCAAAATCAAGTCTACGGAAACACTGGAGGATTCAAGAGAGAAAAGAATAGGGCACGGACACATTCAGAAAAGATGCTGAATCAGAGTGTTGAGTCTATACACTCATCTAGACTTAAAACAGATCATTCATTAGCTGGGTGTGCGCGCCTGTAATTCCAGCTACTCCGGAGGCTGAGGCAGAAGTTGCAGTGAGCCAAGATCGTACCACTGCACTCCAGCCTGAGTGACAGAGCTAGACTCTGTCTCCAAAAAAAAGGAGGATGAGACTGATTTTTAGTAGTCATAATTATATTCTAAATGTACTTTTTTGCATTGAAAGAATACTAAGTATTTTGAAAAGTGAATATTGATGTAATTCAACTCTCAATTGATGCTATGTCTTAATTTCTAGTTCTGATGTGAAAACACACAGTCAATTCTTATTGTTGCATCAGAAATATGAGAAATTCCTTTACAGTAGGTGTGCATCACTAATACACTTGTCCATGAAAAGCGAAAGGCTCTGAAATGTAAGATGCGTGAATAACATCTTGATCAAGAGGCTCTTTGTGGTTGTCTTACATACTTTAAGTGGTTCATGAGGTAGGAAGATTCTTCTGCATTATAGGAAGAGGGAACCATTTTGAATTTTATAAATCATTGGTTTTACCAGTACTTCATGAAGGTAATATACCATAAATTTTTAAATGTTTTATAAGATTCTGTGTGAACTTAATTTGTTTTTAATTAAATACAATTGTGTTAAATGTGTTAAGTTCATGAAATAAAGTGTTATCCTACCAAAAACCAATTCCGTCTTATTCAAGGGTGTTGATAACAGGTGGTAACAATATGCTATTGGGTAGCATAGTGGAATAGCATCTCCAGTGATCTCTATTCCCAGTGACTTTTTAACTGCAAGTAACTTGAAGAATATTGTTCCCATAGTTTTTTATGCTTTTTTTGTAACTGCAGAGTCATCATTATTGCTATAATAAAGATTATACAGGAGTATAAATAAAATACATACATTTCTGAGTATTTTAATTTTTTTCCTATATTTTTTGTTGGATGTACAACTATTCTGCCCTGACAAAACACACGGAGAGTTTTAGTTTTGATTCACATGGAGTTAAATATACAAATATATTACTGTAAAGGTAAACTATGCTGAGCATGGGGACTCACACCTGTAATCCCAGCATTTTGGGAGGCCAAGGTAAGAGGATCACTTGAGCTGAAAAGTTTGGGAACAGTCTGGGCAACATAGTGAGACCTTGTCTCTACCATAGATTTTTAAAAAATTAGCTGGGAGTGGTGCTGCACACTTACAGTCCCAGCTACTCAGGAGGCTGAGGTGGAAGGATCATGTGAGGCCTGGGAGATCAAGGCCGCAGTGAGCTATGATCATGCCACTGCACTCCAGCCAGGGCAGCAAAGCATGCCCTTGTCTCAAAAAAAAAAAAAAAAAAAAAAAAAAAAAAGAACAAAGCAAACGCAATAAAGATGAACTTTAGGTTTCAGAGAATTATGGAGCAAGTAATTGTGTTTGTATGAGTGTTGGTGTCTACCTAGTTTGAAGGTACAGACAACAAAGAAAACAGCAGGATTGGATAAAACAGATAATTTTAATAGACATGATTATTTACTATAGAAAACTATAAACCTCAAAGATGTTGAAAGAAATCTCTGTTCTTTCCTTTGTATTGAATTCATTTCTGTAAAATATTCTGGCTCCTGGTTCAGAATCTCCTCATGCAAACCCTCTGTTTTTACTTGCCTCTTATTCATGTTGGACCTCACATCAAATGTTCCTGTCCCATTGTTCATGCAGCATTATTTCCATGCCCTGCCCAGGGATGAGGAGAAGAATTTACATAAACCTTAGTGATGCTCCCCAAATAATTTTCAGATGTGAGCAATTTCACAATTAGTGTATTAATATTTTATATAACTCATACATTTTATTTAGTTATTTCATTTAAAGAACCCAATTTAAGCCAATTTTTCTTTAGTTATTGTTCTTTTACTTTTTATAATTGATATCGTTGGGTGTATTTACATTATCAGGCAGTTTGTTCAGGTAAACACTGGGGATGCTTCGTAAGTTATTGGGTTATTTTGATATGTAAAAGAAGTAAACAAATATAGTGCTAGGTGAATAACATTCTTTATAATTAGAAGTAAATAATTCTGTTGAAGCAAGTTTGTGTTTTCAAGTTAGAGACTGAAAACATCCATGGCGAAGAAATGATATTTTGTATGTGGAGAGAGGACATCTGCTTTCAGGCTACACAACTGGCTTTCTCTAAACTTATGAAGAGGAATTTGCTTGTTTTATTTTCTAATAATCTCCAGCTCTCTGCCGTCTCTTTTTGTTCATCCCTAACTATGCATTGATCACAGCCCTTCTTTGCCTGTCTTACGACTACACCTTTCTCACTGTTTTCCCCACCCCACATCGCTCCACATAGCACTCTGCAGGTTCTGATGAGAGGTTTGGAATTTTCTAATGTGGTGAGAAATGGCTTTTCACTGGAGTGTTTGAGGTCATTTATAGCCACGAATACATTTGGATCACTTAACTGGGACAAGAGGCGTGCACTGTCTGCAGGTCAGAAGATTCAATCGGTCAGTTAGCACTGTCTGGATTTATTTGTAAAAGGTAGATGTTATTAAGTCCTAACACAGTGTGGTTACTATAACATTAGTTTGAATAGTAAAAGCATTAATACCAGTGGGTTGTATATGGTAAGCACTGTTTTAAGAAATGTCAAATTTTGAAATGTCTTAAGAGAAAATGTATTTTGAAATAATTTTTTAGGAGAGTTTATGGTAACTAAAAAAATTTACATTTTCTGTAAAATACTTATAGCATAATGTATGCTGTCATCAAAATGTATTTGAGTGTAAGTGGAACAATTAGAGAATAACCTCTGTGGATTTAAGATTTTGAATGGGTGGGGCACGGGGGCTCACGCCTGTAATCCCAGCACTTTGGGAAGCCGAGGCGGGCAGATCACCTGAGGTCAGGAGTTCGAGACCAGCCTGGCCAACATGGTGAAACCCTGTCTCTGCTAAAAATACAAAAATTAGCTAGGTATGGTGGTAAGCTAATTTTTGGAAGCCCAGCCACTGTGAGATGGGACTCCACTGCACTGAATAACTTGTGTATACATAGCACTTTACACTGTTCTGGTGTCATGATATTTTTTGTCCATGGTTCCTAGCTGATAACTCCCACAGACTTGGTGAGTCTTTTGTTACTAGTTTGGTGGAAAAGTTATTGCAATTTCTTTTGCAGCAACCTAATAGACTATTGAATGTTTTAAGCCTCAGGGGCAGCCTCTGGTGTCCTCCTGCCCTCCTTCCACTCTGATGGTCCCTTGCCTTGTTGACTGTGGGTCTTGAGACCCTCCCATGAGACAGTAACCCCTACTTACCCCATGCCCTGGGGGAAAGAATGGTGATGGCACAAGCTTCCATGAGAACCCAAGAGGGGCCGGGGAACGGTGGCTCACACTTGTAATTCCAGCACTTTGGAAGGCCGAGGCGGGCGGACCACGAGGTTAAGAGATCGAGACCATCCTGGCTAACACAGTGAAACCTCGTCTCTACTAAAAATACAAAAAATTGGCTGGGCGTGGTGGCACGTGCCTGTAGTCCCAGCTACTCGAGAGGCTGAGGCAGGAGAATCGCTTGAACCTGGGAGGCAGAGGTTGCGGTGAGCCGAGATCGTCCCACTGCACTCCAGCCTGGGCAACAGAGCGAGGATTCTGTCCAAAAAAAAAAAAAAGAAAAAAGAAAAGAAAACCCAAGAGGACTGGGTTTGGAGAGCTTTTCTGGGTAGCTGAATGCAGGGAGGGTCCCAGAGGGTGGCGCCTGGGGAGGGCATGGAAGCTCCGCACCCCTCCCCCTGTGCCTCACCGTACGTGGCTCTTCATCTATAGTCTTTGCAATATTCTTTATATACACTGCTAAACACAAGCATTTCCCTGAGTTCTGTGAGCTTAATGAGGGGGTCATGGGAACCTCAACTTGAAGCTGGTAGGTCAGAGGTTCTGGAGGCCCGGACTTGCGACTGTTTTGTGTGTGTGTGTGGTGGTGGCGGGGTGTGCAGTCTTGGGAACTGAGCTCTCAATGTGTGGGACCTGATGCTTTCTCCGGGTAGATGGTGTCAGAACTGAATTAGAGGATACCCAGCTGGCGTCCACTGCTTAGTGTGAGGGGGAAATAAAACCCATGCTTGGTCACAGAAATCTTGTGTCGATGATTGTTACGGTGGGAGAGTAAAGGAGAAAACACCGTGCCTGCCATATCTCTTCTTGGTTTCACCTCCTGTTACCGGTGGCGAATCCATAGGGGTCTGCGGCAGCCTCAATTCTCGTCTCCTCAGAAGACAGAATTCCACTGAGGGGCATGGGACTGAGGCAAGTTTTAGAGCAGGAGTGGACGTTTATGAAAAAGCTTTAGAGCAGGAACGAAAGGAAGGAAAGTAAATTTGGAGGAGGGCCCAGCAGGCTACTTGAGAGTCAGGTGCGTGGTTTGACCTTTTGACGTGGGGTCGGCATGCTTCCGGGGTCTGGCATTACGGTTCCCGGATTCCTCCCTCGGGGAGCGCTATCCATATGCGCAGTGGCTGCCGGCGCTTGGGAGGGGAGCATGCGCAGTGTGTTTACTGGAGTTGTGCGCATGCTCACTTGAGGTGTTCTTTCCCTGCCTGTCTAGCATTCCTAGACAGCACC